CGGCAACCTTTTGGTGCTCAGGATTACACTCAACCAACTGAGCCACTCCTGCGGGGCTACCTACCCTTCATATATTTTTATTAAATTACTGGCAGGCAAAGTGGGAAGGCTGTAGTGTGTTCAGGTGTGTGTGGAGTCTGGATATTAAAGCTACCAAGGGTCAAAATGCTTTGATGGAAGGATGAAAACATTACTCAGTCACTAATTTTCAAGTCACCAAAACACGAAGTGTAATGGATGAAATGCACCCTGCCTTGGGATATTTGTCATAATTCATTGAGTTTTCAACTATTCAGATAGACCTTTAAGTTAAAAAAAAAATTAGTGAAGTAAAGAGTCATGCAAATGCTGAGTCAGTATAAGAACAGTATTTTTTATTTTACTCTTTTTTTTTTTTTTTAGGTCCAGGAAACTTTTAAAAAGTTTGGAAAGATGGGAATAAAATGGCACGTTTTGTATTTTAAGTTATATTTTATTTGAACTATAAAATCCCAGATAATCTCATTAACCACAGCAATAAAAATTTACAAGGAGCCTCAAAGAGTTAACAGGTTTTTCAAACCTGGTGAACTTCTAGTACTCATCCCCTAACTTATTGACATATTAAAATTAGTAATTTTTAAGAAGAAAACTGTTCATTAAACAGGAAGATTAGGAGCCAAAGCCAGAGGCCTTAACACAGGCGTTTGTTTTGTTTTAAATCTATTGATTTAGCAGGAACAAAACAAACACGCCCCACAGCTCAGAATATAATAATCAGACCCAAGTGATAAGCCTAGATGGGAGGAAACGGTAACTTGCCCAGTACCTCCCGTATTACCTCAAGAGTTTCAGTTAAAAAAAAAAAATAAAAAAACTACGAGGAAAAATGTTTCAAAAGCCAATTCAGCGTCCAGACACACCGAAAATCGAACCAGGGACTTTTATAAGTACGAGCAGACCGACGGAGGGTAAAGGAAAACAGCTGGTGGCGCCTCTGGACAGCCCGGGCAGGGCAGGGCAGGCAGGCAGCCCACGGCCAGGGAGACGTTTTCTCCTCCTTTTCGGAAAGGGGCTTGGGACACTCATTTTCCCGGGGTCCTCTCCACCCACGGCTGCAGCGCCGGGTGGGGGACAGTGAAAGGATACGGACAGGGCGACGGGACGCG